GAACAAGGGACTCATGAACGTACAGAAAATCCTGAAATTGAGGAAATGGAACCGTTGCGATGGTACAACAAGCAGCTCGCTGAGGACTTCAACCGTCGTAGCGTCCCTGCCAATAGTGATAAAGCCAAGCTCCACCGCGTGAAGTATGTGCCGATCCCTAGCTAAGTCGCTTGCCCTTGTTGACTAGTTCGCGTAGCCTCGGTGATCGGATCCGAGCTCCCATCACCAACTTCGACGAAGTCTGGTCATTTGCTTTCCTCGACAGTTGCCCATACCACACCATCAAAATACATTATCGGCCACGCGGTACGTGCATACTGCATTCACATTACCACGTAATCATTGACAGTCGCGATCCTTTAGATGTTCTGAAGAATGACTTCGACATCAACGTCGACCCTGAGCAACATGAATCTCGAGCAACGTCATCAAGGCGGATAGCCAAACGTCCCAAACGCTCGCCCACTCATGTTCGTGCCGGCTCGTCACCGCCGCACGCCAGGATGGAGGTACGTGAAGCGCAAACCGGTGCATGTCAGCGCAACTCATCTAATCTCCACTGCTCAGGAATTCATATATTCACACATGCCGCACGTGACTGTGCTAGCGCGTCCATCACAGGACATTAAAGCAGCATCGCAAGTCAGGACAGAGGTACGTGATGGGTAGGACTGCAAGACAGGTGAACTGATGTAGCCTCCATTACATAGCAACCGACGTCTTTAAACAAGGCGAACGCGACCTCGGCGGTAGTAGCGGTGGCACCCATCGACGAATATCTCCCCTCCATTGCACGTCAATGGGACCTACCCGACGTGTCTGCCGCGATGGCACCCGCAGCTCCACAAGAGTCAGACGTGAGCGGATGGAGTTTTTGCCAAGAGCCAGCAACTTCGAACGCGTCGAACATGATGGCACCTGTGCTTCTACAAGAGCCAGGCCCAAGCAGACGTAGCCCCAGCCAACAGCCAGCACCTTCGCAGTCGTCGAGCACGACGGTACCTGCGCCCCCACAAGAGCCAGCTGCAAACAGACGTAGCCCCAGTCCACAGCCAGCAACTTCGCATGCGTCGAGCGCGACGGCTTCTGCTGCTCCCCAAGAGCCAGGTGCAAGCAGGCGTAGCCCCAGCACACAGCCAGCAACCTCGCATGCATCAAGCGCGGTGGTATCTGCGTCTCCACAAGAGCCAGATGTAAGCAGACGTAGCCCCAGCCCACAGCCAGCAACTTCGCATGCGTCAAGCGTGACGAGCGCGACAGCAGCTGCGCCTCCACAAGAGCCAGATATGAGCAGACGCAGCCCCAGCCCACAGCCAGCAACTTCGCATGCGCCGAGCGCGATGACTTTTGTTGCTCCCCAAGAGCTTGGCGCAAGCAGATCTGGCCTTTCGCATGCGACGAGCGCGGAGGTATCTGCATCCCTACAAGCGCCAGATACGAGCAGACGCAGTCCTAGCCAGCAACCGGCAACTTCGCATGCGCCGAGCACGACGGCAGCTGCGCCTCCACAAGAGCCAGGTGCAAGCAGACGTAGCCTCAGCCCACAACCAGCAGCTTCGCATGCGTCGGTCGTGACGGCACCTGTGCCTTCACAAGAACTAGATGCAAGCAGACATGGCCCCAGCCCACAGCCAGCGGCTTCGCATACGTCGAGCGCGGTGGTATCTGTTTCTCCACAAGAGCCAGATGTAAGCAGGCGTAGCCCCAACCAACAGCCAGCAACTTCGCATGCGTCGAGCGCGGTGATATCTGCGCCTCCACAAGATCCAGATGCAGGCAGACTATCTCACCGAGCAGCGCGGCGCCGACGAACAAAGCGTCCAGAAGAGCAAGCAGCTGCGGTGCAACAGTCACGACAGGCGAGCCCTAGCACGGGTACCGCAACTTCCCGTGCATCTAGCTCGAGAGCAGCCGGTCGTCGCAGAGTCAAATCGAGGCAAGCGAACCCCGTTCATACAGTTCCGAGCACTGCTGCACCCAGCGCCACAAGTTCGAGGCAAGCGAGCTCTAGCACCGGTCACGCAGCGCAAGGTATAGCCAGCACGAGCGCGGCTGGTCGTAACAGTGCTCAACCAAGGCAGGCGAGCCCTGTTCTCGCAGGTCCGAGCACTGCTGCTCCCAACGTCGCGAGTTCGAGCCAAGCGAGTCCCGTTGCCCCAGGTCCCTCCCAAGCCGCTCCGAATCCAACGGCACACAACAATGCAGATGGGAACATTCGGAGACCCAAGCGCAAAAGGACCGTTCCCCTCCATGTCAGGGTTCCTTCGTACATGTTGAGGCCCGGCCACGTGCTTGATGTACGTTGCGTCCATCCAGCTGATTCGATGTACATTTTCTCACAAATGCATCCCGCATATGCAGGCCGAGGACACTCGGGAAATCATCGAGCTGGCAAAAAAAGTCTGTGACATAAAAGATGACCCGTTCGAACGCTTCCGGGTAATGTCCCCCCTTCTGCGATCCTGTTCTCGGCTGCGCATGCTGACGCGCGTCATGTTCGTTTGTTGCAGGGGGACCCCGCTGGCCTACGCAAGTTCCTGAAGGAGGAGAACAGGCGAGAGAGGGAGGAGATCCGGACTGAGGAAAGGGAGCGCAGCAGAAAGCTGCGGAATCTCGAGCGGAGAGTAAACTTTGCGCGGAGGCAGGTCAACGCGATGATTCGCCCCCGCCCGCCCCGTCCCGAAATGGATGGCCCCGTCATTGTTGCTATTAATCCCTAGATAGATTGATGCGCGTGGTAGTTTTGATGTGTGTTGTGTGATGTCTTTGTTGCTTCGGTGCTTGGGATTTGTCGTGTGTGCCGCGTGTATTAGTAGGTAGTTCTTTGTGCCCGTGTGTGATGTGCGAGATTTTGTGTTAGTAGTTTGTACTTAGTAGTAGTACTGGGAGGAACTCGAAGTTCGCGGCTACTAGTGGCTCGCTGACGTTGCTTTTCGCTTGCCTTGTATAACAAGGGGACAATGAACGAACAAAGTGGTCCATGCATACGCCCTTCACAGACAGACCGATGAGCAAAAAGCATTGACCCCGGCTACACAGGAGGACAAGTAATCAAAAAGCGTATAAGTTCCAACCATAATGCAGAGCTACATTCGTATTATACGTTCACAAGGATGCCTTCTTTTGCTGCAGGAGTTGGTTTTGAATGATCAACATTAACGCATAGAACGTCTCAATCCTCTACAGAAGACAATCAGGTACACTCCTACCCATAGAAGCTAAAGATACTCACCGGCATCGGCACGCCCTCCCGGCGGCCCATTCTCACCAGTTCACCGAGAATGACTTCCACCTCCGTCGGGCGGCCATTCTCGACGTCCACGAGCGTGCTCGCGCGATGGTTCGCCTCGGGACGCGCGTGCAGCCGCGACGTGTTCACGAGCGTCTTGTGGACGATGTCCGGGTCGATCCCAGGAGACCCGGACTCGGACGGCGGGAAGAGCACCGTGCCAAGCGCATACACCTCGTTCATCGCGTCGTACAAGAGCGGGATGGCGTATGCGCTGATGGCGGGGGACGCGCTGGGGATGTCGGCGGTGGCGAGAGCCGAGGGCGTCTGCGGCTCTTGGGATGGGCTACTTGGCTCGGGAGGGGGAGGAGCGGTCTGCGAGGCGCCGGGCGCGAGGTGTGGTGGGCGGAAGACTGCGGTGAGCGGAAAGCGCGTGAGGGCGGCTGTGATACCGAGGCAGGCGTTCCAAAAGTTTTTGGAATATCTGACGCGTTGGATTTCGGGGACGACGGTCGTCTCGGTACCGCCCGCTGCGAGGATGTGTGCGAAGTCTTCGAGAATGGCAGTTTCTTCGGGCGTGTTTTCGGTGTTAGTCGTGGTGGGGCGGTACATGCCTAGCGATACGCGATCCTAAGGCGAAGCAAGCGATCAGTATATGAATATTGAGAGCCGTAGGTGGGTCAAAAAAACTAACAAATTCAGAATGTTCGACGGTGTTGCTGTTCAGCATGCCCGTGCCGATCCAAACAGCAGTGCTGATGATCCTGGGCTCTTCGGAGGCATTAAGCTTCTTCAGCGCATGGTACAGATCGACCTCGACATTGAGGCCATTCTGCATCAGAACATATGTCGGCTGCGGATACTTGTCGGCATACTCGGGCTGCAGCAGAGGTTCCAAAAGGGTCGAGGTGCGTATGAGCTCAGGGATCGCCTTTGTCGTGATAACGACATAAGAGTATGGGCGGTCGAGGGCTTGCGCGACAGACGGGAAAACTGTTTCAGTAATTGATCGGTTAATGCGGGGTGACTTCCGACAGAACGGAGGATGGTACACGTACGCCTATCTGGCTTCCAGCCCTGGAGCTCGCCATACTTGCGGCTCTTGATGTATAACCCGTGAGCTTCCAGCCCTGGAGCTCGCCATACTTGCGGCTCTTGATGTATAACCCGTGAGCTTCGCGTTGGTCTCACGTCAGGGCCGCCTCCGAGATCACATTGTACAAGATGACGATACGGACCGTTAACGGCATCGTAATTACTCCTTGCTACGGCAGTGACCCGAGCAACGCCACTTCTCTTCAAAATTAAGGAATCTGTGCTACCACAGGAGGGCTCAGATGACTGGGAAAGCAGATAACGAGTGCTGGTTACATATTGCACCTACCGCGCCGAAACCAACGAGCAGGACGTCTTTAAGGTGAGAAGCCATTTGTATCGATCTGGTTATCCTGCGCGGCCAGGTGCACTGCTGAAGGAAGAAAGGACTTGCGCAATGCGTGTGGCAGTAGTCAACCCGCGATTCTGATCGCATCAACCACTTTGCACCTGTGATCATGCTCGCCGCCAATCTCTCGTGGGCAGACAAGGCAATCCTTTAACTTGCGCGGGCTCCCGGAGATCCTTACTCGCCGTTACTATGATAGCAAGGCTGAAACAAGGTTGAACGGCATCGGCGGAGCGGCCGTCTTAGTATATATGCATGATTCCCCGACCATACTGTACATTGCTGTCTGCTAGCAGCGCACCGACATGGCGATGGATCCCACCTCGTTGAAGCAACTCAAAACGCGCCGCGGCATCAACTACAGCTACTTTGTCTCGACTGGACAGCCTTCTAGTCTAACTTTGCTCCTGCTTCATGGCTTCCCCTCCACTGCATACGACTGGCACCTTCAGGTTCAATTCTTCGCCAAGGAAGGATACGGTATCATCGCGCCTGATCTGCTTGGCTCTGGAGCCGCTGGATCCATTGCTCTACAAGCAGAGCGAGATGAGTAAGGATATCATTGACATCCTCGATGCCGAGGATGTCGAGAAGGCTATCGCGATCGGACACGACTGGTACGACGTGCCCTGTTAGAATACCGTTGGACTCACGTTTTCTGGAATGGGTGCAGGGGGTGTGCCTTGGTGTCGCGTCTCGCGAATTATTTCCCCGAACGCTTCATCGCGTTCGCGTTCCTGGCTGTTGGATACATGCCCCCTTCCGTCCCCTTCGACTACGAGGCTGCCTTGGCCATCACTAAACAAATCTTAGGATATGAAGCGTACGGATACTGGGAGTACGTAGCGGCAAGTCTTCTGAGGACGCTCCTCATCCAATCGTGTACAGGTTCTTTGTGAGGGATGAAGAAGCAGACCAGATAATCAAAGACCATGTATGCGGTTTGACTGTCACAGTTTCAAATCTCGACTGATCGACTAATCTCTCTGCACAGTGGGAGTCGTTTTTGACGCTCTCATACCCGTCCGACCCCACCATCTGGCGCACGCACCTGTGCCCTCGAGGCGGTATCAAAGCACACCTGTTAAGCGGAGATATTGCTCCATCTCCATCCTACCTGACCGAAACTGCAAGTTCTAATCTCCCTCTATGGTCATTGCACACTGATGGCCTTTAAAACAGGACAAGAAAGCCATCTCGACCGCCATCCTTTCCGGTGGTCTTAAAGGAGCCTTCAACTGGTACCGGATCATGCTCGACGGTATCACGGACTCAGACGACAAGCGTATGCTCTGCTATTCTTTTAACTTCACGCCGCTTTAGATCTGATACTTGTGACAGAGATATCAGAGTCGAGGCAGACTATCACGCAGCCGGTGTTCTTCGGCGCGGCAAATCGCGACTACGTCTGCGTGCCGGCGCTGGCGCTGGCGCGTATGAAAGAGTTTTGTCCGGACTTGACTGTGAAGGAGTTTGATTTAGGGCATTGGGTGCAGCTCGAGGCTCCAGACGAGGTCAATTGCGAGTTGGCGGCTTGGATTCAAGGGGTGACGAAGGCTAAATTGTAGATCGCGAACTGTACAATTGATCGAAATGCATGTGTATCTGTGTTGGGTCTTTCAAAGAGTGCCCACAATAGATGTAATTGAACGTGACTCATCCGCTACTCGGTCCGGGACACTACACATGGCATCCCACCCTATGCACCGTGCAAGAGACGACGGACATCAGAAACAAACCAGGCGGTACTCACAACATCAGTACCTGCACCAGTGCCCAAGTATCACGCTCCATCTTTAGCGCCTCCAACTCTGGTGTCAACGGCTCCTGCGGTGGTTTTTCCGCAACAGACTGGGCAAATCTGGGACGAGAGCAGACGAAGGTTAGACAAACTCGGGTATTCGAGGGACAAGCACGTACTGCTCTCGGCACAGGCGGTGCATGCATGCGACAAAGCCCTGCTCGTGGTTCAATATTTTGTTAAGATCGTCCTTCGACTTTGAAATAGCGAGTGCCGCTCAGAGCAGGAAAAGGGTTAAAGCAGAGCAGGATACGAGTCAGAGAGAGCAGGATACGAGTCAGAGCAGAGTACAGGCGAGCCATCAAGTGCGTTGTGGCCAAGATCTTGAGCTTCCTCGTCACGTGTACGTGTACGGTCATCGCGATATCGCAGACCACTATCAGCCGCAGCGCCCCAGGACTCAGTACTCAATACTCATGCATCATGGGTCAGTTAATGACAACTGCCAAACTACGAGAGGTACCTGCACTTTCTTGATGCCCAGTTCACTGTCTCGACGTACCTTAGGATCATCATACCGACACTCTCGGTGCCGAGCGTGAACAGCAGATGCGGAAGGATAAGCGGAAAGCGTGGTATTCATCTAGTGCGTGGCACTCACCTATCTTGTGTGTCCTTACACTGACCGATTCTGTTGTGACACTCCCGGACATAGCTTATGGCCGAGCGATGGTCATCATAGACGACCCAGTCAAATCGTTCATCCGAAACGAACTGAATCTTGCATCCGAGTTCGAGTTCGTTGGGGATTACTTGATGGCATTTGGTTGCAGGAAAACACAAGACATGCATGTTTTCACAGCATATGGGCCGGTGGGATGGAGGGTGTTCTTCAAGTGGATGACTACCCGTATTGAGACGAAGCGGAGATATGGCAAAGTGGAGCTTGCGGACCTTGATCAAGATCACAGGGACACAATGTGGGATGCATTGATGGTGCGACATATGTGCTACAGTCAGCAGAACACCAAGGGATCCCTCGAGATTGCAAGTTCAGCAAACGGTCCCGACGTCATCTCCACCTTTCTTCGTCACCTCCGACGCTCAAGGAGGCGATACACGAAGGCTTTTCTTGATGCAGGCATAGATGATGAGGGCAAGCTGAATGACCTTAGCGACGCCATCATCATGCAGGATTCCGAATATCTCGAGCTCATACGCAAGAAGCTCATGGGGAAGGGGGAAATGGCGTGGATGGATTGGCTTTTAGTTAGGGAGGCATTGTTCGAGAGGGGCCAAACCTTGATGGCTAGCAGAATACGTACACGCTGATACAAATGCTCAATGTATCATCGCTATGATAGTTGATCTCTGTAACGGCAGCCTTAGAGCACGTCTACAAACCCCTCCGTGCGCCATACGAAGCACCTGCTGAGTATCCTTACATAGTACAGTTCACCACTTTTGGCTTCACTTCCACCACCAAACTGCAGCATTGGACAATTCATCTCGATGATGCTTGTGGACGACTAGGCTTTGTATCTTTTTCTGTCATTACAACCGGATCGGCTGGTTGAGTGCTGGCGGTGGAATAATCGTGCTCCCAATCGTCGACTGGCTTACGCTCGGTGCTGGCAGTACACTTTCTGATCCATCACCCAATTGATAGCATTGGTCGCCTTCTTAGGATATGTCCAGCCCTAGAATCGTCCAAACAGCTGTTGTACACATGCATCGCCGCAAGTCGAGCAGGGACGAGGACGATAGTGTCCTTG